TATAATTTAAGCTTTCCTAACATGAATTTGATAATAAATTTACTGGCTGTGAGAATATAAACTAATTCACCTGATGCCGGTTTTCTTACCTAATATTTTGCCTTCGAAAAATTGTTTACCTAAAGTTTTATGAATTTAACTAAATTATTAAGGATTAACGTTATATTTATCAAAAGAGCAATTACAATACGAAGGTCGCATTTGTTTTGCTTAGACTTGTTTGTTAATTCTAAGAAATTCACGTTAATTCTTGCTAATTTCGTACTCTAAAATATACTGTTTCACAATAATTAATTCCTTAAATATTTGTAAGTTCAATGTATTCTTTCATTATTTACATATTCTACCTTTGCACAAATTCACTCCCTAAGTATTTTAGCTTCCATCTTTTGATTCTAAAATATGGCAATTTTGAGATATATCGTGAAAACGAAAGCTTCACTATATTGTTATAAACAAAAGTAAAAAATTAATTCATGTTATAAAATTATTTATAGCATTTACATATGATCTTTATTAATGTATTTAGTACTGAATTTTAGAAAAGAAATTTAATTTTGTGTTTATCAAATTAACTATACTTGGAACAAACACCAGTTTAAAACATTTAAGAATAGCCCTACTTCGATACTATAACACTGGGATAAACGTTTAACAAACATTCTTCTCAGATTGGAAGAACGGCTAAAAATTATATTTCCTAATAAACAGCATTGGACAATAATGGAGCTAGTAATCTGCCGAAGTTCTACGATGAATCTAAATGCCGCATCTAACATTCTATATCATTGTTTCAGTGAAATTGTTTCAGTGGTGTTCCTATCTAAAATCAACATCCGATTTAATTTTAAAGGGAATTTATTTTAATATCAAAACAAATATATCTAATAATGAATCTAACATCTCAGAGCAACATTCAAGCTGCAACAAAACAAATCGAAAAATAGTTCTGTTTCTCACTTACCGTTTTATAAATCCTAATGCGCTTCTACTACTTTTGCGTTGCCATTCAGAGGTAGAGAAAAGTGTCTATTCAAATCGGGACAAGCATTATATCGAAGACCAGGACGTAATTATTTGCTTTAAGCTAGCCATCACGCCACAAGTTCAGAGAAAATTTAAACATTTATGTAGCAGACAGTTCGGTCGTGCAAGATATAAATTAAATCTCTCAACTACAGATATCTAACAGAGAACTGGACGAGATTCTAGGAGATTTGCGTGCCAGCGTGTAAAATACGCACATATATAATGATATTACATAACCTTTGCGTGAAAGGCTAATTATTCTCCATATGCGTGGCACTAAAGATACACTCTGTGTGCGGTATTAGAGATCTTGTCTATTCAGAAACTCACATTACGATTATTACCTAGTTTAGTGAATGCATTACTTCGAGAGACTAATATTAATGTCAACTGTTCGAAGTAGTTATTTAATGCATCTGGTATCTAAAATTAGTATTAAAGTATGTATGCGATAATACGTATCATACATACTTTTAATCAAGCATAAGTAAATGGCGCTCACATGAAAATGCAACACTTCTCTAATTTAATTAATTTGAATTAGATAATGAGAAGCGTAATGAGTATTTTTGAAATATTCAGTGACAAAAGACTTTCGTATCTAGAAATATAAAATAAATTTGTATAAAATAAATTTGTGTTTATTACTTAACGAAATTACTTAACGAAACATTACTTTAACGAAACGTGTACATTACTTAACGAAAATGTTTTTAGCCGAAAGGACGCTAGCCCAGAAGGGCTATTAATTACCTTTTGGCATTTTGCATCGAAAATTTTAAAGTCCTTTTCACTTTTCAAATTGTTGCCATCAAATATTATCGCCCTGTGTTATATTTAAAGAAGTTAAATAATGAATAATCTGCATAAATGTATGTATGTTTCTCACATTGTGATAAAGCAACGGTACCTAGAGTCATCAAACACTGAGTAACGTAGTCCTCCATTCAAATATGGGCATCTGGAAGCCCAAAATTTGAAATTTACAATTTGTTTTGTTATCAATTTCATATTTTGTAAAACTTTAACAAATTTTTGATTAACAAACTCAAGGATTTCAAAGCGAACAATGGCAACGTTATACAGAAAAAACCTTTTTATCTCGAGCGCGCGAGACTTTGTATCGGAAATTCTAAAGATATATTAATTTTAAAATTATTTTGCGATATTGCTGTTGAACTGAATTTTAGGTTTTAAGTGAGAAGAACATGATATTTAATTTAATAACTAAAGGTAACACACAAAATGTTAAAAAAACGCCCCTTTGCGCGTTATGAAGAATCTAAAAGCTTTCCATTTTTTCTTCTTTCTTTCTCTTTTGAGTTTTAGAAGTGTTTCTTAAGAATTTTTAAAACTTTAGAATTTTAAGTCTTTCTAAACAGCATATAATCCTTAAACTGCTAATGCATAATATGTCACCTACTATTGGGTTGAAAAAATACCATTAAGTCCTCTGTTGGGAAAAAACGAAATTACTTTCGGAACAACCAATACGTGCAAGTAACAAAACCTGATTTGTATACCTCATACTTCCTTGTATGGAATATTAAATTATACGCATTTTTTTCATTTCATTTAAACTTATTGGATTGAATTATTGAATTAAATCTACTTCGCCGTATGCGCATAAACCACAATACCATAGCGAGAGTCTAACACACATAGTTTACCATAGCGACACTCTGGCCCTAGGTTCACTTAACAGCGTTACATCTCATTCATTTTATAACACAGATGTTTAAAATAAAAAATAATCTAATAGTACATACGTAAAATATAAGGTAGAGTAGTACACTACGTGAACATAATTTGAAATTAATTGAAATAATTATGGAAGCAAAATTAAATTAACGCCGTATTATATTTCTGAATATGGCTTCTATAAGATATTTTAGACCTGTTGCAATTTTTGCGTTATTTTATATTTAACTTAAAATGTTTATATAAAATTGAACTCTAACCTTCGTAAGATACTAAATATTTTCATGCGTTGGATTTTCGCTTTTTTTTAATGGAATCTTTTCACTCCTTATTACAAAGCTAATTAACTCATAAATCATCCACCTTTATTCATCTTATGGTAATCGTACTGTCATGAAGGTACGTGCTCAAGCAACCACAAGACGCGTTATTTTTCTCTTCAGAGAAAAATAATGAGTGTCGGAAATTCTTTGTTCCATAAATTGCAGAGACACAATTATAGTTCGGATCCTGCTCGATTTTATAAAGCATAATTTTCAATAAATGATTTTGAAATATACATGTTCTCTAATGTAGCTGACAATAATGATATATTGTTACAAACTTTGTATATATTTAAAAAATTTTAGTTGAAATTATAGTATTTTTTGTATAATATAAAATGAAATGCTTGAAAAAGCCGGAGCTGTGCCGGAAAAATAACAATATAGGAGCAAGTATATTTACATTGAGGTAATAAATTGGCGAGATACCATCGAGCTGATGATGGTTTCGGCGACTAACTTTTGTTGCCAAATCTGGCGAGAAAGCGCCAAAAGTCACGAAACTTGGCGACCATTTGGCAAGAAGTGTAGGATATCCCGAACTTATTTATTTAATTGAAGAGGCTAATTAAATGGAGATAGCACAAAACCTGAATGGTCCTGAAAATGTCGCATCAGGAACAAGGAACCGTTTTTTAAACAGTAAGTTAATTAATTAGACGCCATGATTAAGAACGACTAAAAGCAGTAACTCCATCCAAAGACTATTTTCTGTCATTGTTGGTTCGAATAAACCGTGAAAGGACTACTAAAGAGTTGGTTTTAGATCTTCAACGCTGCTGTTGCACGGAGATTTCGCGAGGATGGAAACAAATGATTTGTGCACCAGTCGTTCCATCTTACAAAGAAGCTTATTTAAAATCGTTGTCATAATCTTGTTGAGCTAAGAGGAATGTAACTGAGCAATATTTACTGATGAGTAAAAGATGTAACCCGAACTGTGACTCTAGCCGTGTTTTGATCTGGTGACAGACAAAAACACATAACTTGCCTTCCTTTACTCATGAAAGGTAACGTTTAAGCGAACCGGTTATATTAACTTTTACGATGTAATAACCGAAACTGGTAATCCGAGATGCGCAATTTTAATGGAGATTTTGCAACCTGCCACATATATAGTTTTGAAAACAGTTTTGAAACCATGTTTAAGGCTGTTTGGTTTAAAATACTTAATAATGAAATACAGTACTCATCCTTACTCAGTAGCTCTGTTGTCAGAGCAATAGGAAGTAGAAGATATCACACGGATGGACTGGCGAGCGTATTAACTAGACTTGAACTTGATTGAACACGCATGGGATGCCATAAACCGCCACATTGCAGCTCACCAAATCCATCCATGCATCCTCCAGAGTCAGAAATGTGTACGTTTATAAAAGTAGTATGTGATTCCAGAAGACTTGATCAACTCAGTTTCAGTTTCCTATGAAGCTAAGTGTCTCCAAGGATGTCTGTTTAAAATAATAAATTGTAAAATATTATGAAGGTACCTGATTTGCAGCTACCTCCATAATATTTCACAATTATGGAGGTATTATGGAGCTACCTGGTGCATATTTCATGCTATAAAATTCTTTTAGCTTTCTATAATTTTTTATTGCACTTAGAAACGGGTTTGTCTCTTTTCGTGATTAGTGCATGCATGTACTTTCTTGCGTAGTGCTTTGAATTTAATCTTTTTCTGAGAAGTCTATTTGTTCGCGAAACTATTTTTGAAATATGGCAACAATTTCGTTTTTTGCTTGCGTGCTCACAGCCTTCAATTAATCCATTTTGTTTAAAACATTTTAAATAAATTTTAAGAAATTCACACGTACAAACAAACAAAAAAACATTATGGATACAAAAGTCTTTATATGTGAGTAAAGAGATTCAGAATATTATATAAAGACGAAAAAATATTAAGATTTGATTTCTTATTAAAATGTATTTAAAATTTCATTGCAGATCGTCCAGCTGCTCCAGTGATAAAAACATATTACGCTACTTCAAAAACTATAAAGTTGTCCTGGGACCCACAGACTGCTCCAAATGCTCCTGTATCAGGTAAATTGCATATAAATCAAATATAAAATAAAAGTATAACTGAGAAATGATTGAGGGAATAAGGTGTAAAAAATATTTTGCTTGAAAAGTTTTTGGAAGGCATCCTTCTATTTTATATCGGTTGCTGGTTTTGCATAACGCGATATCACACAACACGGCATTTTCTAGGAATCTATCTACCGTATTATGGGAGGTATACCTGTATATATTATTTCTGAATGGAAAAAGATGTATAGCTATTATGTGTATTATGAATTAAATTGTGTTTGTAAATTTACGCTGTTGTTGATGATACTCCTTATTTGCAATAAATGGACATAAAAACCATTTCAATTATTATAAGAGTGAAACAAATGTAAACGAGCCTTTTGTCAACACAAAATTTATTTTATAGTAAGCATCTATGTTTCTACAAATTATTCTTAATAATCTCCTCCTTTTATGATACATTTTTTCCCAACGTTTCGGTAATTTCTTTCGTTCTCGTAGAATGAATTTGGATGGGTATCTAAGTTGCGCACGAATGTATCCACTTGATCGTTGGTCTCAAATCGCTTGCCTCCAAGTGCTACTTTGAGAGGTCCAGACATGTGAAAATCGCATGGCGATAAGTCTGTACTGTAAAGTGGAATGTCAAGCGTTTCTCAATGCGTTTCGATAAGTTTCTGCTGCGTTACACCTGCTGTGTGGTGCCTGGCATTGTCGTGGAGGAGTAACAACCTCGGGGATGGGGCAGTCGGCGTCGATACTAAAGTCAAACTTGATTCCAAGAGGCCACAGTCGTAGGTTGCTCTGTTGGTCCGACATCCGTTTAACCCCTTAACGCATTTGCCCGTGTGTCACACGGGCGAAAGTTTCCGGCAAATTTGCACATGCCTGTGTCTCACACGGGTGCCCTTGTATCTGCTTTTTATTTCTAATGCTTGTCTGAGATCCGTCCAGTAAAAATAAATAGGTAGATTATAATTAAACATTTGACATAGATGGCACCACTATTCAGCATTTTCTGTTAACACGTGGCGCATTTTGATGATTAGCTATAAGTTTGCGAGGAATTCTTTGCTATAAAGTAGTCGTTTGGTGTGGAAAGGTATATCCATTTTTATTACGTAAATATATCCCGTAGCAGTTACTGCAAATTATATTACTAAGGTTTTTGTAATTTAAAAAAAGTTATCTGATAATGACGACTCTGACGATGACAATTTTGAATATGCCAATTTATCAGACAGTTCAGCGATGAGAGTGATGATTTCTTGAGTGATGGAAGTGAATCGGGAGATAATGACAACGAGATTTTGGATATAGCAAGGAATTGGTATCAACCAAACGTTGCACCACCGAGATTTCGATTTGAAGCTAACCCTGGCATGATTATGCAAGAAAAAAAATAGGTGATTTTTTGACCGAAAATTAGAAATTAATGTGTGCCTTAAGGGGTTAAGAAATCTACCAATGGGATTTCCCTCCAGTCCCAAACAACTTGGCCAACATTTTCTCCGCACATAATTGAGTTATGGCTTTTAGAGAGTTTCCTTCACCTTTCCTTCTCTAATCCATGCGTACATGCTTTGATTGGGAATGTAATGATGCACCCATCTCTCGTCACAAGTGAGAGTTTTATGCAAAAAGAAAGTTTCCCCTTCTTCTTCAGAATGAGTTGCACACCAATGAGAAATACGAACTCGTGTAGCCTTTTGGTCAACCACTTTGGAACCCAACGAGCTGAGATTTTTCTGAAGCCCAACTGCTTTCTGATTAGACACTTCCATACTGACAACAAGTTCTTCCGGAATTTAAAGCACTCTGCAGCATCGATACCATTCGAAAAACTCACAAAAAACGTGCAATGTTTTCATCAGTCGCTGTGCCGTGAGCACAATGGGGATGACGTTGATTCGCAACACGTTGATGGTCTTGCTTGAATTCCTTGCACCAAACCTTCATTCTTGACCGCAAAGGATAGCTTCCCCGAGATGACCATAATGTCTGCGGTAATTTAGGCTGGCTTTATGTTTTCACAAACGACTAACTTTATAATAATGCGTTGCTCAATAGAGACTGGCGCACACCCCTCACGCATCGTAAGGGTTAATAAATAAAGCACTGGACACGACGGCTGCTGTCGTTCCCTTAATCTAAGCAACCCTACTTAACGACTTCAACTGCCCTAACACATAAGAAATACCATGCCGACACTTAGCATAAAGGTTGGTTCATATCTGATCGCCCTATGTACGAGTATTTTTGCTTGGTAACTTTATTTGCCTTACTTGTCATTTTACTGCAGACATAAATTTATCGAAATTTTAATTATGTATAGTAAACGAAGTACAATTAGATGTATCAAAACTTCTAATAATTATAACTATGCTTTAAATTTGAAACATATTTACGTAATTTTAATTTGTAAATAATAAGAATTTTCAAGAAAATAACCCCTTAACAGAAAATTTCTAGAACTGTTTAATCCTGTATTTCAGAAATTTTAAATTACCTGAAATAAAATATTTAATACTGCTTCAAATATTAACAAATTTCTTAATGTTTGGTACTTAACGTTTCATTATAATGCCCAAAAGGATCTTTATAGCAGAAAATGTTTTTCTGTTTGGTAATCGGATTGATGTAAGTGGATGAAGAAGTTTCGAAATGTCTAAACGAATTTTTTGAATCTGCAGTTCTTCAGTTTCGAAAATACTTAGCAAACTAAGATAGGAATATCAATTCCTATTTTAATCCTAGCAAACTAAGATAGGAATATCAATTCCTATTTTAATCCTAGCCATAATATAAGCAAGTTCGATGAAAGTATGAATAGACATGCTTTTCTAAATGTAAAATAAGTAAGAAAATATATTTATCACATTATTCGTGCTCTGTTTTAGGATATATACTTCATCATAGAATGGAAGGCAGAGACTGGCATGAGGTGCACCTAACAGGAGATCGTAGTTCATACACTCTGCATGAACTTCAGTGTGGAACATCATACTCTTTTTACCTGGTAGCATTTAATAGTGCAGGCCATGGGAACTCCAGTGAAATTATTTCTGCTAAAACAGATGGCAGCGGTAAGCTTTATGTGCATGCAAAAATAAAATTTATGAATTCAAATATTAAATGCATAAATAATATATTTATGCCGACTTAATTGTTCGACTGAGATAAACTAAGGCAAATTTTTGGTGAATAGTTCCTGAATCATAAATTGAAAGAAATAATATTTTATTCACTTGTAATATTTTTATTTCCTCCCTAAAAGGAAAAAAAACTTCAAAATGCAATATTTTTCCCTTCTGATCTTCTCTCTTTCTGTCTCTCTTTTTTTTATCTCTGAAATACTTGCAATAAATGAATATAGTAGCTATCGATTAATAAGATCACATTTATCTACTGCTATTTTCATGACATTAAATGAATGATAAGATTAGACGATGAGAAAAATATTCTTCAAATTAGCAATAGAGTTTAACTAACTTAATATAAGTTGAAACATATAAATACTTATTTTAACATCGTTTTAACTATGGAACAATTCTTTAAAAATGATTGTTTGCATGTGTTATGCAGAAGTTTATTTATGAATTGTGTCTAATGTTTCCGTAAATTATTCGACCGATGCTGTACCCCTAATCTTAATATTCAAAGGACGTACCTTATATCAGCATTGATAGTGAATCCACCGATATCATATTTACGCTCTTCAGTAAGTTTATTAGATGATATGCTGGATTTGTTTCAGGAAACACTTGGTAAATATCCTCTTCTGTCTGAAGAAGAGGGATCTGTGTCTCATCGCTCTCGAAATCAATAGCGCTGTTAAAAATCCGTCCCAAACTAAACAAAAGGCTTTTTTTTTTTTTTTTTTTTTTTTTTTTTTCCCCAAATTTTAAATGGTTGGCTAAAAAAAACAGTTTTTTTTTCTTAATCCCTTCCTTGGTGATATTTTCCAATCATTCGGCAATTTGACTTTGTTTAAAGAATTTGAAAAATTCATTCTGTAACATTTTGATAATATTAAACGAACTGTTAATCCCAATGCACGACTCTATTTTCTTATAGAAATAAACGGCAATTCGATAATAATATCCGAATGATAATGTTAACCTCGATCACATTGAGAGGCGTCTACTGTACTTTTATATTTCTCTTGACCACTTTTGATTTATATCTGTGTTCTTGAATGAATATTTCTTAGTTATGAAGATAATATTGTAAACTTAATGAATTTAACCCCATATATAAATTATGAATACTTCGAAAACAGCTTTTTCTGCCTAAGCCTAATCCCTTACAAGAAAAATTAACTTTGTATAATTGTTTATGCTATAATAAATTTGCAGGAAATTAATTTTACTTCTATATTACTGGGTTGATTGTTCTTCGGGTAATGATTGTTTGTGGTCTTAAATTTACGAATTAACTGTACTGAAAATGACTTATGATGAGCATGAGAATGTTGAAAAATTATAATAGGGCAAAATATTCTCCATCTTTATCTGTATCAGAAAGAAATGTAAAAAACACATAATATAATTATATTCAATAATAATGTAAATATAGGTATATATATATATAATTACACTGACTGTAGTTATATATGAACTCACTTATACATTTCCTCGCTTATTCTTCTCCTTTTTTTTACTAATTTTATCATCAGATAATCGAGTGCTAAAGCTCAGCAGTTAGAAGGGGAAGGCTCCATGTGAACTTCGCTGGTAGTTTATGGGGGTTTTTCTTTATTAGGAAGATAAAAGTAATCATAAAGTGGACGAACCCATTTTAAAATTTAGTAGCGCTCTTCTCTGGATGCACAAGGAAGGGGAAATTTAAACGAATAATTTAAAAATTTTCAGAACCCGTCGTTAAGAAGTTAAGGGAAAATGAAGGATGAAATACGGTGCATTTTTTTTTTTCTTGAATCTACATTTTCCATTTCTGATTTTTCATAGGAAAATTTCATTTCCTTGGATAAAATGTCTTTGTTCTATTTAAAAATATGCTCTAAACAAATAAATGATACTGATGATTAAAATTTGTGATCTTATGTAATAATTGAAATTCACTGTGATTGCTCAGGTTTGTAGCAACTTACTCACTCAAAAAAAGAGACTGATTATATAATATTGCTAATATATGTAATTAATAAAGTTTGTATGATAATTAGAGTCTTCCAAAAGGTAACTTTAGAGCATTCCTATAACGTTGTATCAACCTTACTATTCAGATAACACACGTTTCGTACATTTAAAATTTCTTTTACTCTTAAAACTAAATAACTAAATAAAAAGCAGGAATTGACGCAATATAATTAAAGTATGCAGTACTCTATTTCTGAAGGTCAAACAAAACCATCTATTTTACCTACGCATGCGCAAATGAGAATACAATAAAAGAATTGCTTAATTGATAGGAAACAAATAAACAAAACTCTTATCTCCGGATGTTTAGAGAAAATTGAACAGAGTAACTAAGAAAGGAATCCTTTAAAACTAACGTGTAAAAGGGATTAGAATTTAGCTTATAAACTAAAATGAAAAAACTTTTACAGATATGAAATGCCTCCAGTATATCAATTCCGAACTTAAAACACTTTTAAATATAATTTTGGCTGAACAGAAATCGAAAGCATGGTTTTTAGACCAACAATACAGCATGCGTAGAAAACAAATGGAGAATATGAATGTAGTTTTGGTGCCCTAGATGATGTTTTCTCCATCTTTTCCGCATGCCTTCGTGGTATAAGACTCTACAGTTAACGCCCGAACTAAAAGGAAGTGGGTAATAATTCGTCAGCACTAGGGTCTGGCGATTGTGTCCCTTAATCCGCAGTCACCTTTTAAAAGGTGGAGTACGTAAGCTATTTTCTTCCTTTCGTCCACATGTTTGCGTCGTATAACTGGAAGCACGCTCAACTCGTATTCGGGTGGTCCGGGGTTTGAATTCTCGCGAAGGCATTCCACATTTTTCACATTCCTGCATCGGTATAAGCTAATAACTCTGTAGAGCCATTAGGATTTTTGGAAGCCGGAGAAATGAAAAATTAGCAACCGCCTTCGCCGGGAATCGAACCACGGACCTCTGAAATACCGGCTCAGTGTGCTGACCACTACACCCCGAAGGCATACTAGGAAGGTTGGAGAAATACCTTATAACTCTACAGTTTTTTGATGAAGAGTTTCACATCTCATATTTTTTACCAATGTGTATAAAGCCACACTTACAAGGGATATTGTAGCTACTCTAAAAGTTCCTACCTGAAATAAGTCTTTAAGAATAGGTATGGTAGAAGAGTCGGGGATACCTATTATTTACCAGATCGTGAAGCGAATATTTCCGTCCATATCAACTGGTCTAGAAACACATGGACCCCACAGAGTTCCAGATGATCCTCTGAGTCTGAAAATAATAAGCGCTCGTTCCATTCCACACTGCCAGCCCTGCGACCGCCAGTGGTTTTCTCCGAATCCCATCCTCTACTCCGGGTGCACTTTTGATACCTTGATATATCACATATAAATTTGTCACATTTGTTATTGTATACATAATATTGCTATATTTGATTCAAAATTTGCTTGGTACTTTATAAGGTATTTCCCCCGCTTTCCTTGTGCGCCTTCGTAGTGCGGTGGTCTGCACGCTGGGCGCGTATTCCAGAGATCCACGGTCCGATTCTCGGCGAGGACGGTTGCTCATTTTTCATCTTGCTCGCTTCCAAAAATACCTAATGTCTCTTCACTGGCGGCCGAACTAAAAGGGTGGTGGATTCTCCAAGCCCAGGATTTGGCGATTGAGTCTCCTTAAAACCCTAGTTGCCCTTTAAAGGGGGTATATAAAGTATTTCTTCCGCCTTCCTAGCGTGCCTTCGTGGTGTGGTGATCTGGGCACGTATTTCAAAGGTCCGCGGTTCGAACCCCGGCGAAGGCGGTTACTCATTTTTCATCTTGTCTGCTTCCAAAAATACCTAATGTCTCTACAACTTAACATAGCAATAATGTTTCTACACTTTAACATAATATCATATGCAGTATGCATTAATATACATTTGATGTTCATAACATAAATTGTTTAGCCTTAATTTTGTATTTGCACTAATTTATAACTATATGTAATTATATGTTAATGCATATTTTACATTATTTGTCTATCTCATTTTTTATTAATTATTGCATTTTACTTCTGTAGCAAAATTTCTAATTAATAGTTCATTAACAGTAAGTATTCGTTTTAATTAGTGGTTCATAAAATAGTTCATATAGTTGGTCATTATAAGTTCAATGCAGATTAAGTTCATTGGCAAAGTAATGTTTTTTTCGGAGTTCGAGGTACAGAAAAAACGTAGTATTGCATACATTAATTAAAAGTAACTGTATAGAGTGTTTGTCATTTTCCATGAGGCTTTTTAATTTTAATACTATTAATGTGTTGTGCATAACGCCTTTCCTTTGATGCTAAGTTTTCAATTATGATTTGAATTTTCTTTCTTAAATGTTGATTTCTTATTGGATATTTTAGTAAACCTTCTATGTCTTCATTTGATTCTTTTAAAGAGTAAATTTTGTTCCTGGGCAGTTAAAAAAGTATTTTTCTGAGTCGCTCTTCCCTTCACACGCAGGTATCTGACTGAGAGATATTTCTTTCAAAAACGTATATAGGGAAAGGGCCATATTTCGTTAGATACTGGTTTATATAAGGATTTGTGCTAGTTCATCTCTTCGGAGTATTTGTGTAAAACTAAATATTTTTCTTCCTTGTGGGATTTTTTGCCACATTCTTCCTATTTTAGTAATATTTCTTGCTTTAAGGAGAATTTTAAGTCTGATTTCGGAAGCAGGATATTTATATTTATATAGCTTGCTGCCGCTTTGGCATTTACATCAGGTTCATCATCTCCAATATTATTAATATATACTTTAACTCATTCTATTATAATTTTTGGTTTAGGGCATGAAAGCTTTTACTATCAGAAGAAAAAATGCCATAAACCTATATAAATTACGTGCATTTTTTTAATTAAACGAAGAGAAACATTTATAAACCATTAATCTTTTGTAGTCGCTTGGATTTT